ACCACACCCTTTCCGATCGAGCAATCATCACACCAAAATCCAACACCCGTGGTGAAATCGTAACAATTCACGACTTGAATGTCGGTCATCGAACAGTCATCGCACCAAGTGCGACAATCCCGGATGAAGGGGGGAGGAGGGGAGTCGTGAATTTTCATTGGCATGCGGCAACATGGCGACAGCACCCTATAAGTACTGCGACCCCTTGTTCATGAACTGCCCCGATCTGCTATTGTCTCTGGTGATGAGTTCGAGCAGGAATCCGAAACGTCAGGCGAATAAAGCTCTCGTTCCAGCGATCGTGTCTCCTTCACGACTGCATCCTGGGACTCGTTTCTTTGCTTTTCGTGGCAATTAACAGTCGTTCCAACCAAGGATCCGGTTGTGCCGTAAACTAACATTCAAAGTCACAACTGTTTGTTGTTTGTAGTAGGAAAACCAAGCAGTGGATCTGGACTGCGACGACTTCACGTCTCCTTTCAGATCACGGGCAAGTCCAACTCAAACCGTCTGGTAATGAAATTAACAGCAGTAGCTGACGGCTTGATGCCTCCGTCCACGAGTGCCGAATTTGCAGGGTGTCGAACTTATAATGGTAGAGGGGCGCTCACCGATCGTTTTTACGGAACTCACTCGTCCCGTTGTGCCTTAGAGCCTTCTCTCGAGTTCAACCAGCAACCGCATAGCGGCGCATGATACATAGGCAGAGTGGTATCACCGACAATGACCATTTCTGGCTTATTAGCCGTCGTCAGCCAATCATACCCAACCCCGAAGTGTGGAAGGTCTGGGGTTCGAACCCTCGACCTGTTAGTTAAAAGTCCAACGCCTCTAACCACTGGGCCGCGGACCCGTTGTCCTGCCGCTTGCGATCGGGAATATATAATGGTAGGGGGGCGCTCATCGACCGACCGTTCGCGACCGTATCCGTACTTTTTTATTAGATACACAGACTGAGTGATCCAAATATATTTTAATATTTTATTATCGCCAAATGCCTCGTCGGGGGACTGGCAAAACGCATAAAATTGTTTTCCGAGCAGAAACGTAGAATGTTCAATAGTCCGGGGAATAAGCGAAGGGCGTTATCACAATTATAAGAAAGTTGGCGACCTAGGTAGGATTCGAACTCACGACAACAAGGGGAGAGCCATCTGAGCTACGATCCCCCCAACAGGAGCCGTGAGTTTAATTACATTTGAGTCAAGTTACCCACCCAGCCTACTGCAACGTCAGAAATCCACCAAGACTCCGTGGCCTCCCAAGCAGGATTTCCTAAGTAATCAACACAGAATCCACCAGATGACTACCGGGTTCGTTTATGTGACTAAACTCAGGGCTCTCGGTGGGACCTCATAGCTCAGATGGCTAGAGCGTTGGCTGTACACAAGCCGTCTGCTTGCTGTCGTGGGCTCGATTCCCACCGAGGTCTCCGAGTTTTTGACAGTTGGGTCAAGATTATTCAAAATTCGTCAAATCACCGACCAATTTTAAATGTCGCAACTTCCCATCCGCTCAAAAACAAAATCTCCTTGAGACATACTTTCCTAAAAATTTATTTTGATAAGTGACACTGTAGTTAAGTCTTTCGAAGAAACAATGAAGTTTATATAGCCGTCGCCTGCTCTCCGTAGAGTCCTTACGAAATGTTTCTTTTTGACACACAGGCGTTGCCTTTTCCGGGCTGCATGACGTTCAGACCGCATCTTCGAGAAGTATGAGTGGCAGTGAAACAGCAACTCGTCCAGATCGGTTTCAGGGCCACTTCTCCTCCGACTCGGCAGTCCCGGTCGGCGATTGGTGTACTCAGGTACAGGATGATGTTCTCGCGAAAATTTTGAACACTGTTCAGCAACTCACCGCCAGATTAGACGGGGATTCCGATCCGCCCGAAGTGATCCAGAACTGTAAGGCAATCCAGGCCTGCCTGGACACAATTCATGCGCTGAAGCGGGCTCGATACGAACCCCCGGGCGCCTGCGTGCGACCCGTTGTCCCGTCTTTTCCTTCGGCTCCGCTCGACGCGGAGCATTCCTCGGCTGCTGGTCACAGCGGTCCCTCTGACATGCTCAAAGGTCTTCTTGACCCCTGCAACGAAGGGCTTCCATGAACATGTGTCTAACCTTTTGATGCCCCTACACACCCACAATTATGTCTTTTTACTTGAATACCTGTCCGGATTTTGAACTCCTGGATGGTTTTTTACTTTATTTTTACTAATTTTTATTAATTTTTTATATAATCCACCAGCCGTTAACTGGGGGATAATACTGTAATCTATGATTGCACATTTTCACAAGCTCTCCTTCTCCTGTATTATACTATTATGAATTCTACGCCGCCTTGGTTGTCCTTCTCTAGGTGCTTATGGCACGTCCGTGGCAGGGGTTGGACAGGGGCTTCATGCGGCTTCGTCTGTCGCCGTTGGTATGGGAGTAGGGTCGTCCCAGCTCGTATTCAGTACTCAGCCTCATTATCCCGACAGTTCGACCGTCGTTGTCGACGATGTCAATCCCGTACTCCACAGTAGGGTGGAAGCAGGAACGGTGGCTTGCGCATGACTTCTTTTATAATGACTGTGGACTTGCGTAGCATCAACCACACTTTATCCTTCCCCACCTGTGCCCGGTGTCATGATAGAGTCAAGAAGACCGGAGGCGGGATCGAGCGCAGGTGACTGGCGCGGCGAAAACCCGCACCTAGGCGTGCAACCACTCCCCGTGGTCCGGGTCAGACGGCCCGGATCCCAGCTGGCGCGGCGTCGGGGGTGCCGCTACACCCGAATGCTTGCCATCTGTAATGGGTGCGCATTCCCAAGGACGCCCCCAGGTCGCTGATCAAGCTGCCATGTTCGTCCAGCGCATCTACGGCTGTAGGGCAGGATCGAAAACTAAAGCCACCACGACCTTCTTAAAAAGTCGCAAGGAGTACCGGCAAAGAGAAAAGACGCTGATATTCCCGTTTTTGGACCTATCAGTCGGTGTCAACCAGCCACCCCCAGCTGTGTTTCGGATGGCCTAGGACTCGGACCTGAACCCTTTGTCCCGTCGGTTGTGGGAAGGACGTTCACTGAGGACTGCTAATAAGCCAGAAACGGGAATCCCAGTCTTCCCCGTCTGATGTAGATTAAGCCACAAGGCACAGCACTGAACGAGCGTGTTCCGCCCCTTGATCCGTGAACACCCCTCCGATAATGGTACTTATACAGCGAGGAGGGACGATAGAGAATGCGGGTAGATTGATACGGTACTGTTTCGGGCTCATTTTGCTTACATTCAGCCAGTCATAACCCTGACCGGCAGCTGGGATCAGGATCGCACAGACGCGCCTGGCGCAGTTGATCCACCACTGGGGTCTACCAGATGGGTCATAAGGACTTCATCGAACCGACGTTCATCAGTGCCTCGCCACTTGTCATTCTCTATCGCTGCAGATCGGGTATTTATTCAATCAGGAATGGGCGCACACCGATCTATTGGCTTCACGAAACAAACAAGTTCCGTGCGGGTGACAATGGTCACGAACAGGCAACCAATTACCAGGCCGAAGTCGGCCAAGTCATAATAGCAGCAAGGAGAGACGAGAGAGAATGCGGGTAGCACTGATACAGCACTGTTTCGGGCTTATTGTGCCTTCATTCAGCCAATCATAACCCTGACCAACAGCTGGGATCAGGATCACAAACATGCGCACAGACGCACCTGGCGCAGTTGGTTCACCACTGGGGTCTGTCTACCAGATGGGTCTGTTGGCTATGACTTTGCCGACTTCGGCCTGGTAGTTGGTTGCTCGTTCGTGACCTTTGACACCCATACGGAGCTCGTTTGCTTCGGAAAGCCAATAGATCGGTAATTATGCATTTAACTTTTGACCGTGCAACTAGGTGTTTGTCCTATCTGGAAGGCGGGCCTCCCTCTCTATAGTTCGTCTGAGGAGGGGGTTTTTCCGATCCCAGCAGACTCAATCCCAGACTAAAATCGTCATTAGGATTTTGACAACAGAGTTTATTTGCTTTGGGTTCATTACTCATCTGCGGCAGTGTCGAAATCCCATGACGGGTCTCCATGCTGAAGGGCAGGCATTGCGTATGGGTTCTAACTCGCTCAGTTTAGTCTCACTGATCAAGACTCGGAGTGGGAGTCCCACAATTTGAGACTGTCTCATCCACTTTGCTGATCCGGATTCGTCCCCTACAGCGGGGACAGCACTGAGACTAGAGCGTTAGTGGGTTACGTAACCATAACAAATGTCACACATGGAGGTGTAGTAGCACGCCTATGTACAGGCTTGTGCCGCGCCCGATGCCTGCGCCTAATTCCGCCTCCGATTTTCTTGACTACGCCTTGACACCAGACCCGGATGGTTGAGGAGAGAGAGAGAGAGAGTGCGGTAGATGCAGCTCACGCGTACCCTGTGACCAACATTCTCAGCCGGCTCGACCCGGCCAAGCCGCTGGTGTGGGGGAGGCGGACGAGAGGTTGAGGTTAATTCAGACGCCCTTCCAATGTTTATATTTTCAGAACAACCACATTGTCACTTATCCGCGATTTGCGGGACCTTATGTCTTATGGGTATTTTGTCTTTGGCATTTACCAACTTCAGTGAACGCATGCTTCACTTGTTCCGAGATGTTCAACCTATTTCATCCAGTCAGTGACCGACATCATAAAGTGTTAACTTCTGAAATGCGTTCTCGAGTAGGAAGGATTGCCTAAGTGGAATTATAATTATGATTCTCGCGCAGCATAATCCTAGGACATTTCAGCCATCGTCGGAGTTGAGTGTGGTATCGCGCCTCACAGTATTTATAGGTGGGTGACAGTCATGTCAAAACGGGTTTTCTTACATATGAAGTCAGGGCGGCAGGGGGGAAGGGGCGGGGGGGAGTCCTAGATCGCCTTTTCGCTGGATAAGGGGGTGGTGGATCAGCTTTAGTGGTCATGATCCACATGAACTGTGGCGGGCGGGGGGAGAGAGGGAGGGAGGGTGACGCAATGTACTCAATCTACATCGGAGGCCGGCGTTGAGACGTTGGTGGACGTCGTTCGTACCTTCATTGACCGTAGCTGTCGTCTAAGCCTGGCAATCTTGTTTACGCCGCAACGACTGTCCGTTTTCTCGTCCGCCTGACTAGTAGATGGACCGGCTGTGGTGAGGACTGCGCCTTCGTCTGAACCCGGTTGGGGGGTGGCTGAGTGTGCATCCGCCATGGACTCGTTCATGTCTGGGTTCATGTTTAGCCTGGGTTCACGTCTGCTCATTTGTTTGCTGAGCTGCGCTCGAAGGGCTTGATAGGCAGCGGGAAGAGTCACACAGCGGTTGATGGAGGTTGTCCCCGTGTGCCAAGCCTCGATTGTTTCCCTGGCTATGCGATCGTTTCCCCGGCCCAGAATTTCAGCATTCTGAAAGGCGAACGTGTGTCCGGCATCGGCGCAGTGTTCAGCCACCAGAGACAAAGGGTCCATTCGCCTTACTGCCCTCATGTGTTCTCCAACACGGGTCTGTAGCCGTTTGCCGGTCTCCCCAATGTAGTTGACTTCGCAGGAGTTACACCGGATCCGGTAGATGACTTTGGTGGTTCGTGCAGGTTAATGGACGTTACGGTTCCACTTAGGTAGTCCTTCCTAATCTAGAAAGCACTCCCGAATTTCGGTCAACGTTTCATGAGATCGCTGACTGCCTGTATGCATCGTGGAATACAACTGGATACATCATTTCAGTCCACACTCGCGCTCATAAAATAAAGCACTAGATCTGGATCATACAACCTGCGTGTGCATCACCACCCCCACATCGACTGACTGACCGGTGAGGATAGTGGACCGGTGAGGAAAGGCAAAGTGGACTATGTCCCCACGTCGAATATTATGCACTGCATACCGACAAGGCAACGGGCTCGCGGCACAATGGTTGGAGGCGTGGACTTCTAACTACTATGTCGCAAGTTTGAGCCCCAGGTGTTCCACACTTCCTGGTCGGGTATGACTGGCTGACAACGACCAATAAGCCAGAAATGGCCATTCCAGTCTCCCTTGTCTTTGTCGGTAATATCATTCTGCCTATATATCATGCGCTGCTGCACAGCTGATGGTTGGGCTCGAGAGAGAGCCCGTAAGGCACAAAGGGACGAGTGAGATCCGTGAGAAATGGTCGGTGAGCGTCCCTCTACAATTATTCTCTAGTGTTAGAAATTTTCCCGGTCAAAAGTCAGCATTTTGAGTACAGAAGAAGGAGATGAGACCATTGCAACAAGAAGTCTATTGGCCTGGCGTTTCGGATTCTCACTCAAACCCATCATCAGATACGTCGCAGATGGTGGAGGTAGTGAAGGCACAAAGACTGCAGTATTTTTACCACGTAGCTGCCGTGGGGCCATATGGGTACTATAATTAACAGCTCTCAGTATCACCGCTGGGGATCGTAATTAAGGCAATGATGGCTCGTCCGTACGCGTCCGAGTCGTTAATCGTCGCAATTTCATCATCCATGTTAGATGTTGGCGTGATTATCACTCAGCAATTTCGTCCTCTATCACCGGGATAGTTAGTCACCCTCGTCCCATTTCCCCCTTCCCCCACGTGAATGAATCCCCTGCTCAGGGAACGTCTCAGGGCCGAATATGGCACCGGGAGATCATTGCGATTGCTGACGGATTGTTGGCCTGAGAACCATGATTCGAGCAGCTCGCGGCTCACGCGGTTGTCAGCTCTTGCAGGGATTTCGACCTTTTGAATAAATTAATTAATCTAGAACTAGGATTCCGGAGAAGCTTCCAATTTTAAAAAAAAATCTGTGCGTAAACCCGGATTCACCGTGAGTGATCAATCTCATGAGATGTTAGCCGAAATAATGAAATGTGTTTTCGATTGGGAAGGACTACTTAGGTGGGGTTGTAATGTTGCTTATCCTGTAGATGTGCCGGGATTTTGGCTTTGGAATGTTTTTCTTTTCACTCTTGACGAAAAATAACAGCAAACAGTACGTGACCAGTCTCATGAAACCTGATGATAAAAAATGATGGAAGAATTTTCGGACGCCTTAAACGTTGCACATTTTGCTTGCGCATCAAACCTCCTCAAGAAAATATCCTCATCCTATGCAGAAATATTGTTCACGTAACAGTTACATCATAGAGAATCTGTCCTTATTGGCAACCGATTGAAAGCACCGTAAATCACGAAGTGTACGCCGATAATTTAAGGCCGAATTGAAACTCAACGTAATCCCGAACAAACGAAATGTACAGATTAATTTCATGGAAGAGGAGTTTTCTTTATAAACACAAAGTGATGCGTTTATGATTAGCTGTGTCAATCCTACTTAAATTTATTAGGCACCGATCAGCCCGGTCAGATGTGACCTTATGAAAATTTTTGTTACTATGACATTTATGTTCGTAAAATCGAGCAAAATCCTGTTTTTCTTATTGAACTGCATCTCAAATAATTAAAAAGCCCAAAGGATACCATGGATCCTCAGGAAACTGTTTTGGAATCTATACTCAGGATGTAGGCTGTTGGTAAACCGCCATGCCTGAACTTACTCCAATTTTAAAGCATATTTAAATTCAAACTTCACAAAAACAGTATTTACAACTGTTGTTGTATTTGTGCTTTCATATTCACTCGGTCTGTTGCATGCGAAATTCACTAAATTATAATAATTTTTTATGCATTTACTGGATTTTGCATTTTTTTATAAAAAAGTTGACATTTACAAACAGCCCAAAATTGTCCTTATTATTTCTCTTATGTTTTTAATTCTTCAAAGTTGTCCTTTATTAAAATAGACAATGGATCCGCACGTTAATGTCGGTTTGCGAGTGATTGGCAATCATGCGTAAATTTCGACAACTTTCACCTGTACGGTCACGCACTGACTTCCGATGGCCTCATATATTCGAATATATTTTATAGAAAACACGCACAAAAATATGCTTCTTTTCACTCATTTGGCAGCAAATTGTGTCATCTTTGCATTTCATACTCGAAGAAAGTGTATATTTGGGTTTTGAAAAAAGTTTCTACATTCTCGAGTAATTTTGAACCAGATCAGTCGCTGCACTAAAGTTTAGCGACTTCAGTCATGTAAGTACTATCATATATACCTATAAGCCTTTAAGAATATACCGTATGGAGCTCATAAAATTTTATGATGGGTACGGACTACGTCATACGTTTCATCAGGAGCATTGGTAAAGGGATATTTACGATGCTGTATAAATGAACATAAATAACTCTTAAAAAATCTCATGATTAGGAATTTTCGAAAACCTCAATACACCCGTCCTTCGGGTATAAACTGCAAAGACAGCATGATTCTCTACCAAACGAATAAAAGAAAACATATTTTAGTGCATGTTCTTTAAAATATAGTTGAGTTCATAGGACTACTGAAATCCAGTATGAATAATGCATGTTATATAAGTATTCATTTTTGCCGTGTGAGGTTTCAACAGGGGGTCGAAAAGAAGTGCATTCAAAAGCCGATATCCCTGAGAGTCCAACATATTATTAGGATTATGCCGCATGATGATCAGTAATACAGCTCCATCCAAGTAATTCTTCCTAATCAAAAACGCATTTCAGATTTTCGGTCAATACTTCATGAAATCGGTCACTCACTGAAAGTTCATGAAACAAGATCCAGGCTCGGCTCAGAGGTCGCTGTGAATACCTGAACCAAAGTTCATGGCCTTCAGTGGAGTAACTGCAAACACTCAGGCTTACTAATTTGACAAACGTATAATTTCCCTCGCGCGTGGTGTAGGCTAGATGGTGACTTCACATCGTTAGCCGCTGTGACCACTTTCATTTTCAGTCGGTCTTTCTCCGACTTTCCACTGGTGCAGAAGAGGTTTGAAAGGCGTCTTGCACGCAAACTGTCGGCTGACAGGAGAAAAAAGGGCGAGGCTTCAGGGGTCTTTACGGCCCGCCTGGCATCCGTGAGCAGGCTACTTGTGTGTTGTAAGTAGCTTGCCCGTTTTCCCAAAAAATCGACCCGGGTTTCATTTAGTTTCCATATCAAAATTAGCAATTTGGATAATTTGAGTAATCACTGCGTACCCTGGTCATGCGCTGAAGTTGATGGAATCAGACTCAAGCTTTCATATGGACTTTGCATTCTTATTTCAGTAGATTGCCCGAAAACTTTAGTTCAGGTAGACAAACTAGAATCGGACAATTTTTCAACGTCGACATTGACACGGGAACGCCGGCAGACCCACTGACAGATCGTAATCCGCAAGCTAACGTTACTCGGAATTCTGGAATATGTCTTTTATTTGAAAAGATTACTTAGGTAGGGTTGTGATATCAGTTACCATGCAGCTTAATCTCACGATATTTCAATCAGGGCGGGATGACAGCATTTGAATGAACTTCTTTTCGGCTGCCTACGACAATTGCATTCCGTAAAAAATGACTCCTTAAGTAGTACGATCTTCCTGGTGATTTCCGATGTCCTCATATATTCAGTGATATTTCAGATTGGTTCATATTGATCCAACTGTGAAAAACTCGGCGCCTCGGTGGGATTCGAACCCACGCAGTAAGGGGGAAGGCTTTAGTACAGCCAACGCTCTAAAGCTGTACTAAAGCCTTCCCCCTTACTGCGTGGGTTCGAATCCCACCGAGGCGCCGAGTTTTTCACAGTTGGATCAATATGAATTATTCAAAATCTGCCAAAATATCAATGAATTTCAGACAGGGTTGCGTGCTTTATAAGAACCACTAATGAACATGCTGATGAGATGCTGTGTAAACGGGTGTTACAAGGTCTTAGAGCATCTCATAATGCTAAACTTTTTTAAAACTAAAGGATTAAAAATTAGAGAAGGCGTAGTTTGCTATCAAATAAGCACGAGAAGTAATGTTTTATGCCCGTTTTCTTCTAAAATATAACTGAATATGTAAGGATATCGATTATCAAGGGGAAACACTGCGGCTACTTTTGTGGTCAGTTTTTCATGGCGTAGTCTTTGCTGACGGCCAAAAAGGAGCTAATTCAAATGCCGAAAATTTGCCGTGATTAAAATATCCCAGGATTAGACTGCTGGATAACTGATATTACGACCCATTCTAAGTAATCTTTTTGAAATTAAAACAAATTTCAGAATCCAGCCCAACAGTATACTTATAGGGCGCAAGCACGTAAATCTGCTGATCAAAAAATTAATGATCCAACCAGGCATCAGCAAGATCATGTGACAGGTGGATCGTCGTTGCCAACGATGTCCACCGAGTGCTCCACAGCATGGTGATGCAGGGACGGTGACTTGTGCGAGGATTATTTAATAAGGGTGGCCGACTTGCGCTGCATCTACCGTACCATTTCCTCCACCCTCGTCTGAACCTGGTGTCAAGACAGAGTCAAGAAGACCGGAGGGAGGAGAGGAAGCAGGTGGCTGGCGCGGTCGGAGTCGCTCCTAGGCGTGCTCGTATCCTACGGATTCTGAGTGTCATAAAGGCCACAGTAAGAATGAACCATTGCAGCCTGATTCTCAGACCACCAGTCAGCCGCTCTACACAAACACACCCCTGGACCGACTGCGAGGTCCACGTTTCCCGTCAATTAGGAACCTTCAGAGCCAAAGTTTTTCGTGCCACATGATAGCTTCAAGTTCGTGAGAAAGTGCACTGAATCGTCGACTTCACTCTCATTTCATACATATATAGGATCTTACCGCAAGAGTGAAGGTTCTCCGCAATCCTCATTCATCAAAAAACGTCCTATACTGGCATTTTTTCGACAGTGTGCATTTTCAGAAGAACGTTTGGCATTTGTGCATTTCGCTTCGCACAATATGACAGGGATTGATTTTCGGCAGGTTGTTACTTTAAAATTTGGCCTCAGTTTCCTCTGGTCTTCTCTGCGGTGAGGGTAGGGTTTGTAACCGCTCTTAGATGGTTGTTCAAAAATGTACCTTCCCATCTTTTTTAGATAGAGTTAAACTGGCAATCCGCAGTTATACGATGTTCGGATTCTCACCTTCACTGTCGTTAATGAACTTAAAGTTGCCCATGTCAGGATCAAAGTTTGGATTAAGTCTACGTCCAAGGTTAGGGTTTGTTTTGGGACTTAGGCTTTTCTTAGGGCTAGGGTTATTCTAGCTTAGGTAATGGTTCGGATTTGGGGTTGAGACTAGAGTTGGGGTTTTGGTTTAGGGTTAGAATTGGGATCAGGGTTAGGGTTAGAGGGGCCAGTGATTACTTTTAGGGCTAGAGTTCGGACTTTGAGGCCTCCGCTAGGGTTACGGGCGCATCCGTGTTGGACTCAAATGTTTTGGAGTTGGGAGTTATGATTACCCATTATATGCATGACAGCGGTTGCCGTTAACATTGCAGTTAACTACAATTTTCCCAGTGGGGTTACATACCATATCCTTACCCTATCTGCTATCCCGCCCTCCCGTGTATTGTGGTGAAGGGGTGCTCACCGATCGTCCTTACGGAACTCATTCGTTCCGTCGTGCCTTACGGGCTCTCTCTCTCTCGAGCCCAACTAGCAGCCGCACAGCGGCGCATGATATAGGCAGAATGATATTATCGACAAAGACAAGGGAGACTGAAGCGGCAATTTCTGGCTTATTGGCCGTCGTCAGCCAGTCATATCCAACCCCGACTTGTGGAACACCCGAGGCTCGAACTCGCGATCAAAAGCCGACAAGGCAACGGGCTCTTGGGCCAGTGGTTAGAGGCGTGGACTTCTAAATAACAGGTCGCCAGTTCGACCCTCGTCCGCATGTCGTAATTTCACCACCGTTTTTGATTATTCGCATTCTAACTAGTCGGCCCTAGTCGTCGCGACCTTCTCAAGCAGCCAAAATCAGATCTTAGAAGATGGGGGCTGGAGGTCATTGCGTTTGCTAATCTGCCGAAGGTCAAAAAATCATGACTCAAGAAGTTCGCGGCCCGTGCGTTGTCAGCTCTCGCGAGACTTGTGGCCTCGCCAAACTTGAAGGCGTAACCGAGTCCCGTTGAATCGACCAAGACTTGAGAGTTAACGTCACTTCTCATCACTGCTGCTGCGTTAGACTATCCACGTCCGGAGAAGTCTTTAATTTTCCCCGACATAACTGCTTTCTCCACATCTGCACCAGGTCCGGAAAATTACTTTACACGTTTCCTGACACGCAAGTGGATCTTTGGCCTTGTTACTTAACGTCGCTTGCTAACGGCAGCCTTGTTTGCTGGTTTACTGCAGTGCGTCTAAACACGCCGATATAGTGCCCTTACCCAATCGCATTTATTGGTAATTGGGTAGTTGCTGTAGAAAATTGGTACTCGCGTTGTATCTGCTGCTCTCCTGGATACTTTAGTTTTCAGGTCACCACAATCTTTGCGACAGAGGGGGACATTTTTATGTCCGGAAAGACAGCGTTTTGGTATTCTTCTGAAGACAGCACCTGACCTTTTTGATGACGACGAAGCGTGGCTCACATACGGAGTCCAGCGACTCCAACCACTGCAAGACCGCCTCGTCTATGAATTCTGAAATCGGTGAAACCATTGGCTAGTCTTTTACCTGCTTGCATAGTGTTCCGTCAACCGGCTACAAATCTCAATCCAGAGTACAAAACTCAAAATGCGTAGGGCTTGACGACGGGATGGCGACATGGTCAGAGAAGTCGGAAACTCAATCATTCCCACCTTAGTCGCCTCTAGAGAATACTAAAGCAAGACGGTGCCCCAGACAACGAGCTATTGGATCCACCTGGAATCCTCAGCATCCACGCTATATTGAAGCATATTCAACTACGATGAAGCGGGATGACACGCTGCTATTCTACTGCAACGTCCAGACGGGTAGTTGTCAACATGGAAGACAGAAAGGACGTAACGTGGACACCGAAAAGTTCACTCAAAAATCTACGATTCGATTCGGAGACCTAAGAGAACCTCGCCTAGGATTGACCGGCCTGGGGTTAACGAATGAATGCTGGGACAGCAATCTACGAAGTCAACTGGATTGCTGCTGCCAACAACATAAGGACGGCTCAGAAGTATCAGGAGCCTTCCACTCACAACATCCACCCCATCCACTTATCGTGTCCTCGCACGTCCATGACAGCGACCACCATCACCACCGGCCAACAACTTCTCGGTGCTTCCAGCCGTCGATATCCCTCATTATTATCAGAAAGTTTTACGAAGAAAAATACCACCCCTCCCATTCTCACCACCGATGACAACCTTCCCGCAGCCCCCATAACCCTCAATGTGGACTCGACCCCAACTTGTCTTCCTTGTGACTACACCTTCACGTCACACATCGGTCTTCTCGGTCACATCGCATTTATACCGGCAAACCAGTGCCCTGGGTTCCGATCTACGGCCGTCGCTCTCGCCCCAACTGTCCCCCCTCTCCAGAGCTTATTTGGCCATTTGTATCTCCATGAAAATTTGCCGTAAAACACCGCAGATTAAACCCCCTTCGACACACATCTCCCGTACAATATACAGGAACCTACTCCACATCACCTATCAAAAGCACAGAATAGCGTCTCTTACGCAAGCGAGGAGCGTGTTATTTGGTTCCTTCGCAATATGGCCTCTAGGACACTCACGCAGGCGAAAGCTGAACCGTTCACTCGTTTGTGTGAGAACCTGGCATGTTGTGGGGAAGGCAGGTCGTGCGTGGCCCGGGCAGACGGGCTGTTCAACCCAATCCCCGCACCAGATAACTGACTGACTCGAACTCTAGGCTGGTGCCCGTGAGAGAGAGAGAGAGAGAGAGAGAAAAGGGAGTGAGATTGACTCTGGTGGATCCCGCCCCACAGCACTTCAAAGACATAGTATCGGAGCCCGGCTTCAGGTCAGTAGTGTGTCGTTAAGCTTCTGTCCCATATTCTGTCGACAGCAAACAGAAGTGTTTAAGCTCACACAGGAACATCATCCAGCTAACTGTCCTGACTGCAGTACTGAATACGATGGTCGATTCTGCCATGGATCCCGGGTTCTATGGTCTCCAGAGGCTGTGTCGTGTTGCAACCAACGATAAGTATACAGATAAGAACGAGAAGACTGGGATACTGAGACGCCCTTTTCTGTCATTGGGTTTGTTGCTGATGCTCATGTGACCCACCGTTCCGCATGCAGGTTACAAATTGTTTTTCCTGTTTCTTCCTAGTACACGCGCAGGATTTTGACGCAAGAGTAGATGGCGTCTTTTGATCATTCCCAGCCTCCAGAATTTCCCACTACCAGCGGCCTACTCCAGGGTTTCGTAATCACGGCCGAACATCGGAATTTCCGGCGACCAGAATCAGAGGCCACAGCTGACGCCTAGGACAACCCGGGTGCATGCGCACTCCACGCACAAATTACCTGACGACCTCTTAATTCGCGATCAAGTCGTAAGTGTACTTCTTCCCTTCCCTTCTCCCCCCCCCCCCTCCCCGCCTTGGCGCCTGCGAGCAACAGGACCGAAGTTAGGGGGGGGGACGTTGAGACGGTTGGGGCGGGGGGGGGGAGGGATGCGTGTGCGACAGAAGCGGATGAGTAACCCACGCTAATTCGAGATGACGTGACCTCGCCTGTTTTCGTCCCCCTGATACGCACCCCGACTGCTCCTTCAAGAGGACACTATACACAAAGAGAGAGAGAGAGAGAGCGACAAGGAGAAATTACTTCTTCTGCAGTTAAGGCGACCCGCTCCCAGAAAGCATCGCAAGTGAGGCGGGAGGCGGCGCGGAGATGGCGCTGCCGGGGCGCACACGAGTCACCTTGGTGGCAGCTACGCGTGGCAAACAAAGAACTCGGGATGACACGGGCCATACACAAGTAGACAAAGAAGCATCCTCTACGCGCGGGCGCGAGTCAGAGTAGTCGTGGAAATTGATGGCTGCAGGCATCGCCAAGGCATGAAGTCGGAGCGCAGAGTTGAGCGGCGGCGGCGGAGGCGGCGGCGGGGACGGGTAAGCCATATGGGCTGGAAGGAAAAGCTGCGATACCATCGGTGTCGATCTGATGTAGGCCTCGGTGACAAGCAGCCCAGTTTTGCACTGTGATAAATTGACAGTACATGCGGTGGTATCACTGCTGCCTACAGGCCTAGTCTGGAGCAGCTGTAAGTCTTCCTGCCGGTGTGTCAACGAGTGCCGAATAGTGGAATTGAGCTTAAAAAAGGTAGGTCACGGGTAAGTATATGACCGGGGTAGGGTCAGTAGCGAGAACTACCTACTATATCTAGCCACGGGACGTTGTTCGATAGAGTTGTTGGGCGGAATCCAGTTCGGCCCTTTGATGACTCTAAGCCCGGCAGGATGACAAAAATGGCCATTCCAGTCTCCCTTGTCTTTGTCGGTAATACTATTCTGCATATATCATACACCGCTGTGCAACTGCTTGTTAGGCTCGAGACAGAGAGAGAGAGAGGGGGGGAGAGGCCGTAGGGCACAACGGAATGAGCGAGTTCCGTAAGAACGATCCGTGAGCCACCTTCCACCGTTGTATATTCCCGATCGAAATCGACAGGACAACGAGGCCGTGGCTCAGTCTTTAGAGGCGTTGAACTTCTAACAAACAGGTCGCAAGATCGAGCCCAAGGTGTTCCGCAATTCGAGGTTGAGTATGACTGGCTGACGACGGCCATTAAGCCAGAAATGGCCATTTCAGTCTCCCTTGTCTTTGTCGGTAACGTTATTTTGCATATGCGCTCATTGTTCTGCATCCCATGCACGCAGTTATTTAGTGCAAGGTAAAAGATTTGTTCGTAGTCGAGAGAAATGCAAGAGGCGTCCTCCTATGCGCATTCCCATCGTCAATTTAATCGTTATGCTCGGGTAATCATCGGGAAACATTAAGACACGACCTACTCCTTTAAATCCGCCAGATGGGACAGAAAGGTTTACTATGCCTCCTTTAGGCCAGCTTTGTTCAGCCAAAATCAAAGGCGGTACTTTGCTTCGTCCACGTGGGCTCACACTGCTCTACCGGACACGGAGCCCCCTTCGCGAGGTTTCCTTTAAAGGCGTCTCCAGTGCGCTTATATGAGAGCCCATTATTCCCGTAGGGGACAGTCCACCGGTTGCCTTTTTCTGACATATATATGTGTATACATTATCATATACATTATCCGTGACCAGTCAGTCACGAAATTAACAGACTTGGGACTAACAGCGACAGCCCCGATGGTGTGTCACGACTGTCTTTCGTCAAGGGCAACAGTATGGAGAAGGACCCCCACTTAACGGACGGCAGACTGTGGATCATGTCATGTGGGCTTTTATTTTGGCATCCATTCGCAGGCCTTTGCGGACATTACATTGCCAATAACAATCACTTGCCATGACTCCAAACCATCACTTAAGCGCGTTTATTTTTTGAAATTTACTTCTTTTTATTTTAAATTACCGTACTCATACCCGTTGCCGTACGAAAGCGTGCGATGAGTGTTTCGGGAGAAATTCCAACAATTTTTTCGTCAGCTTACTGTTTAGGGTGCTGTCCCACCCCAAAATACCCCTTATTGACACGATCCACAGTCTACTGGCAGTAAAGTGGGGTCCGTCACCGTACCGTTGCCGCATCTAGGTTCATGAGCTAAAGCACTGGAACAAAAAATCAGTATAAGTGATCCAGATGGCAAGTAGGGCCTCCCCTGAACTACTGATGGAAGCTCGTGAAAATGCCTGAGATTAATGCTACGGTGGCTGCGCAGACAACACGGCACGAAGCTCTAATCAGCCGGTATCAACAAACAGCGAGCAAGCCGGGTAACTCAATTCCTATTGGTTGTCCTACTATGCCAGTACTAATCTATCCTGCTACCCGAAATTCTGGTCCACTGCTGGTCCGGAATGCGAATCTCCACTTGGGCTGTCAGACAGTCGAGAAACTGAGCATGAGCACTCACTCCCTCATGTATCCCAGCGGTTCACACGACTCCTGCGACAGACATGATGTAATGACCGTCATCTGACGACAGCCGACAGATCAATACTCGGCTGGTCTCCGCGTCCCGGTAGAGGGTCGCTAACCGATCGTTCTTACGGCACTGACTCGTCCCGTCGTGTCTAACGGGCTCTCTTTCTCTCGAGCCCAACCAGCAGCCGCACAGCGGCGCATGATATAGGCAGCAGTATGTTATTACCGACAAAGACAAGGGAGACTGGAATAGCCATTTCTGGCATATTAGCCGTCGTCAGCCAGTCATGCCCAACCCCGAAATGTGGAACACCCGACCTGTAAGTTAGAAGTCCACGCCTCAAACCACTGAGTCACGTGGGAGTGATAAGCTCGTCTGACGTAGGTGATGATAGAATTTTATTACCGACAAAGACAAGGGAGACTAGAATGGCCATTTCTGGCTTGTTAACCGTCGTCAGCAGTCATACTACGTGTCGATTGGTTGCAGTTGCGTTATGTCCACCGACAGAAAACTGCGTAAACTGCCTTCCACATGAAAGGTCTACTTACTTGGAACGAATTTTTTACATTTATTTTTCATTCCACTATAGACTGTAATATATTTTATAGAATTCGCGCATAAAAATAATTTCTCCTTTATTCCTGTGGTAAAAAACTATATCTTTTTGGAATTTTATATCCGAAGAAATAGGATCGTTTGGTTTTAAATAAATCGTTCTAAATTCGTTGATAATTTTAAACGGCCCTAGCCGTCGCACTTGCAATTGCGGTATCAAATCCGCAAACTCTGTACTTTCCGTGTAAATAAGTCATGCATTTCTATACATTCATCTAGAAGCGGTCAAATGGCGCTTATGGAATTTTTAATGGATGCTGACCATGTTGTCCGTTTTACAAGAGGCATAAATTAGTGTTGTGATGCAATGCAGTAAAATTGGAGGTTTCGGGGTTTTTAAAAGACGTAATTTGCAAAGAATTGAGTAAAAAGTATGCTTTTATGTACCTTTTCCATAAAATGTACTTGAGTTTATAAGGTAGTCGAAAAATGAAGGGGATTTTTATGCTACGTAAGTGGTAAATTCTGTGGGAGATAGTTTATGCAGACGCATCCTGACGTGAGTAGGTTGTCTTGACAATGGTACAGGAGCGCTTACCTATCTTATCTACGGAATCCACACGTCCCGTTGTGCTTTCTCTTGAGCCCAACCAGCAGCCGCATAGCGGCGCATGATATGAACAGAATGTTATTATCAAGCACGTAACTCAGTGGTTAGAGGCGTTGGACTTCTCACTAACAGGTCGCGGGATTGAGTCCTAGGTGTTCCACACTTCGGGGTTGGGTATGACTGGCTGACGACAGCTAATAAGCCAGAAGTGGCCATTCCAGTCTTCTTTGCTTTCGTCGGTAATAGCATACTGCCTATATCATGCGCCGTTGTGCGGCTGCTGGTTGGGTTCGAGGGAGAGAGAGCCCGTAAAGCACAACGAAACGAGTGAGTTCCGTAAGAAAGATCAGTGAGCCCCCCCTACCATTGTATATT